GGCAGGCGCAGCCAATGGCTGGCGGCAGCAGGAACCTGAGCGTGGGTCTCCTGTGTCGGGGCCTTTTCTCTGGGAGCTGCCTGGCCTTGTATTATCCGAGATGAGGAGAGGACAAGGACGGGCCCCTGTGCTGTGGTGCCCTTGGCTGGGGCCTGTTTGATGCCCACTCAGCCAGGTCTCCAGGCCCAAAGGAGGTCTACAGGGACAGCCATGTTATTGGTCAGGTTCCCCCCTACTAGCCAAGTTCCCAGGCCCTAAAGAGGTCTGTAGGGTATCCACATACCTCAGGCCCTAAGGAGGCCTGTGGGACACCCATGCACTTGTCAGGGACACCCACGTACTCGGCAGGGTCACCCAAGGCCCCAACCAAGGAAGTGTGCGGGACACCCACGTACCTACACACGTCCTGCTGACACCATCAAAATAGTAACCAGCCTTGCATTCACAGCGGAAACTCCCAGGGGAGTTCACACAGGCATGGCCGGGCCCACAGGGCTCTGAGGGCGGAGCACACTCGTCCACATCTGGCAAAGAAGAAAGACATGTGTAAAACCCATGAGGTAAGAAAGGCCCAGGATCCCAAGAGTGAAAGGGCAGCAGGTGCCCAGGAAGAAAGCTCGGGAGGCGGGAAGGACAGGAAAGAAGGGTGACCAGAAAGAGAAACCACAGGGAGGAAGTGGGAAGAGGGCTGCTACACTCTGGAGACCGTGACCAGCGTCACAAAACAAAAGGTGCAGGAATGTTGGATGGAAAACCAATCTGCCCTGTGAACTTTCATCAAGTCACATTAAAAAGTTAAGAAAACAAAGAAAGAAAAAATTAGAGTGTCAACAAGGCAGTGCCCTTTTCTCCTCCAACATGGATTTCAGAGCACCTACTGTGTGCAGACCCCGGCTAGGGAGACAGGGCTGGTGGGACACAGCCCCTACCCGCAGGATGCCTGCCTTGGCCACTCATCAGGGAGTCTAGTTAAAGGGCCAGGCACTGAGAAAGTGCTGTGGGAGTTACAGTGAGTGGGG